TTACAAATTTATTTTATTTAAAAATACTATTTTTTGTTTGAAACAGAAGCACAATGCAAATCTGAAAGCATTAAAGCCAGTCAAACTTGATACTGAGGTAAGATGCCATCATTTTAGTAAAAAAAAACTTAATTTTTTAATTTTGTCTGAAGAATATATTTTCAAGTGCCATAAATATGGTTGTCATTTACAGGAACAGGCAAAAATTGCAAAACTTGGATTAGAATTGCATTTGCTCACATCTGATGTGGATTCTGAGACAGAGAAATGGGAGGATCAGGAGAATGAGATTGTGCAACATGGACAAGGCATGTCAAGTATGGCCTACTCCATGTATTTATTTACCAGGTAATTACACTGTATACAACATGCTTTGGTGGGAAGAGCAGCAGTAACAATGTTTATGAGAAATAAGACAGTTTAATTTTTCAGAGTGTAATAATTGGGGCACATTCAGAAAGGAGCTGTAATTTCTGTCCTTACACTTTGTAAGTTCTTGTACATTTCTAAGCTGTTTAATAATAAATTTAAGGGGGGTTAAGTGCTAAACATCTGTTTTGTTGCAGAACAACTATTTAAGTATCTCTTGGGCACAGAAAACTTTTTAAGGAACATGTTCTTAAATACATTCAAAATTAAGGGAATTAAAGCACAGGCATATATCGGTAGATAGAATTACTGATCTTTGTTGTAGTGAAAGGTGCTCTGAAACTTGCCCATGCAATGACAGCTCTTTTATTTGAAGAATTTAGGGTTTTTTAAGAAGAGAGAAGAATTTGGGATTTTTTTCTTACCTACTATCCCAGTATGCCAGAGATACAGATTTCTGTCCTTGTTCAGTTGATGAGAACTGAACCACTGCTTGTTCCTGAATAGTGCCCTCGCCACTGAAGTGTTTATATTTCTGAAATGCAGTTCCTGTAGTAAGTTATTGTTGCGCATAATATCCTCTAAAAGGGTGATGCTTTACAGTTCAGTAGAGTGAATGGGATGAGAGAGATAAATTGTGCAAGTAGCAGGCAAAATAATCTGCAGTCTATACATGTCATACATTCTCTTTCATTATTTCCCACAGAGGAGAAGGACTTCTGAAAACTACCCAAGATTTATTTCATCAAGCTGAGGTATTTTTAACAAAACAGGAGTTACGCACTCAGTGCAGAACACACTGGAAGACAGGCTGAGAGTGTTGGGGTTGTTCAGCTTGGAGAAGGCTCCAGGGAGACCTTAGAGCAGCTTCCAATACCTAGAGGGGGGCCTATGCAAAAATTAGAGAGGGACTTTTTACACAGACATGTAAGGATATTAGGAAGAAGTTCTTTACTGTGAGGGTGGTGGGGCACTGGCACAGGTTGCCCAGAGAAGTTGTGGCTGCCCCATCCCTGGCAGTGTTCAGGGCCAGGTTGGATGGGGCTTGGAGCAACTTGGTCTAGTGGGAGGTGTCCCTGCTGATGGGGGGTTTGGAATTTTAAGGTCCCTTCCAATCCAAACCATTCTGTGATTCCATGAACCTTACTCTCTGATTCCTTACACATAGGTGCAGTGTGCCATGCATTGACTGGCAACTGTAGATCTGTAAATTTCAAGCAGCCTAACTCTGATGCATACTTCTGTAAGCTAGCTTTTCAGTGTTCCAGTCTCCATTAAACTGAGAGATTCCAGTTTGGAGTAGGAATAGCAAACTGGCTTTATAGCAAATATAGTGCACTTCCATGCATTAGTAATACTCATTGTGTCACAGCTCGGTCCCTGATAGTGTTTATGGATACTCCATCCTAGTCTGAGCAGCAGTATTGTTAGGGGAAAGAAAGAAGATGTAAAAGTTTGAAGAATACAAAGAAAAGGGCACAAATGGAGGAATGTGGTATGGTATTTCCAAAGTACATGCCTGTATTTAACAGGAGGCTGGTTACCTTTGTCAAGACAATAAGCAAATGGCAGGTGTCATCTATCCACAAAACTCCTGTGAGCTGCTACAGTGCAAAAAATAATTGGAAGCCAGTTTTTTGGGTTTTTTTTTTAATATGTAAAGGACTTTATACTTTACTTATCTGGGAGAATGAGAATTAGTAGTGTAGCCTGTTATTTCAGAAGTCGCCACAAACTGCTGAGTTGTTAACTATAAATGTATACAACTCTTACTGATGTTTTGGGCTACCTTTTTACTTTATAGCACACTATTAAAACAACAAAGGAAAAGAGCCTCATCTTTTATTGTGGTTCATTTTGTTAACATGCTTTCTCTGCATTTCAGATTTTTGCTACAGAGGGCACAAAGCTTGCTTCAGCTCTTCATGCTTTTTCTGATCAGGTGAGGTATGGCCTCTAAAACCAGCTTTTCAGCTTTCAGCACTTGTAAGACTGCCTAAAAGCTGGTTGCGCTGTCTTCCCATTAAGTTAATCTCAGAGTCTTTAATACAGTGGTTTTGTCTTCCTGAAACACATTTCAGGTACATGTTGATGATAAACCTTTGCTTCTGTTGGAGGCTGAAAAACTGATCTCTATGTGCAAGCAGCTCCAGATGACAGCTAAAGCTTCTGTTCAGGGTAAAAGTGCTACATTTACAAAGGTGAGCTAAAAAAGATGTATATTCCTGAAAGTGAGACCTAAGTGCTTTTGAAATATAGTAACTTATTAATTTATGTTCCTGCTAAAATATGAAACAGTCCATGACAGGTGAACTTCCTGGATTGACAGAGGATTATAAAAATTAATAAGTACAAAATTTTATATTGTGCGAGCATACCACACTGTCTTATCGCGGGCGGGAGTTTTCTTCAACACAGGTGCTACTGTTTTGTGGCGTTTTCTTTTTCAGTATGATCGATGTGAGCAAGACCATTTTCTGTGCACCTGGATGTTTGTTTCTAATGAGCTATGGAAAAGATGTTTCAATTTTACAGCAGGGACTGAAACTGGCAACAGCATCTGAGCCGCTCAGGTCCAAACTGAGCACCTCAGGGCTACTCCTTGGTTTGGTTTACACTCTCTAGCTAAACTGAGTGGGAGCCCCAATCTGTTTATACAGGGTGATGTATCACTACAGATAATTTGCTATCAAACTAATGTTTGTCAAGGGCCCAGACTTGTGACCTGTGCTGAGTGTTAGACTTGAGGCATAAACTCAAATGCTCCAAAATTTAGCTAGCCTTTACTGTAACTCCTAAGGTAAACTTACATGATGCATGGCTTCCTAAATCACAGAACTCACAAAACGTAAAGCAAAAACATGAATTGTGACTAATCATACTTAGATGGTAACAGCTTCTCTCCAAGACACCTACATTACTGTTTAATGTAATATTATTATTAGTTTCTTCTCCTGGGATGTGTCATGCCCTTCTACTTCCTAGCTCAAGTCTTGGGTTAACAGAAGGGATGCTGTTGCCTTACACATACTATTTACATTCAAAAAGGGTAGGCAAAGCCTTTTGATTAGAAGGGATTTATGAAGGGCAAATATTACTTATTGAAGCTTTAAATAGATTATCATCTCATGCATTAAAAAAAAATGCCTAGTAATGCGTGGCCTTACTCTTATTTGTTTAGGTTGACGCGTGCATTCTGAAAACAAGGAACGTGATGACTCTGTTATGCCAACTTCTTCCACTTTGCTGCAAATTGCTGAGAAAGGTGAGTACTTGGTTAATTAATTGGCAGTGTTTTCAATTTTGGGTTTTGGGGTTTTTGTTGTTGCTGGTTTTTGTTTCTTTAGAAATCTTTTAATTTTTTTTTTTCTAATTTGTGCAGAATAAAGCAGGAAATGGCTGCCTTAAACCTGCTCCACCATGGAGAGAAGACAGAGTACGGATTGGTACAAATGCACATACACCAGAAAGGAGAGCTGAAACATTTGGCATCAAGTCTTTAGAAAACCATGTAACAAGCATGACATTTTTAGAGAGCAAGTAATTAGGAGCACTTAGAAATGCAGGAACACCCATCTGAAAATAACACTTGGTGAATTTTCAATATTGCTTTCATTTGTGGAAAGTCAAATCAGGTTAATTTGAATTAAAACTGTTGACCTTTGTCACATCTAATAGATGTCCCTTTACTTGGCAATTACAACACCAACTGGTCTAATTGCTGTGTATTTTTGTAATGTGAATGCCTTTCCTATGCTCACTATTGATACTGGTTTTGTAATTAATGCTTATGAATGTCTTAATGGATGTTTCAACCCAAAGACGCTGCTAATAGACATTTTACGTAAAGAACCTTGTGCTGCATATGCTATATGTAACACTGCTGTTGAAGTCTGTTTACTCATCTCTGGCCTATTTCAGTCTATGTATTTGGATAAAGCAGAATCAGGAATGTAGTCTGAAGGGCTGTGGCCTAAAGCACTGAAATCTTATCTTAGTTGTGAGTTACACCTGCAATGAAGTAGTTCTAGGAAAAAAATAAAAAAGCCAGAACTCTTTCAATAGCTGCATCACTGAATTTTAATCTTGTTGAACTGATTCATGTTTCCAAAAGTGTATTTCTAAGTGATTAATAGTCTTGCCTCAAACCTTTTTTCTTTTACTCTCTTTATTTGTAGATGGCAGTTGTTTCCTTTTTTATTAAAACTTCCTGAGCATAATTTGAATTTTATGTAGAATTACAGAAGTATTATGTAGACTTTACGTTATGCCATTTAAAATTTAAGAAAGTAGATACTGATTATGGCAAACTTCTATACAAAGGGCGCTATTTGACGTCAGGATACCATGAAAATACAACCTGGTGTGAAATACGTATTTTCTAGTTTGTATGCTCTTTGTATATAGGCTTCCATTGCATTTTTATTTTCAGTTCACATTTGTCAAACTCCATCTTGTATTAGTTTACCTAAATTAAGTGACGGCTAAATCATGTAATAATTTTTTTGTATGTATTATGCTTGCACAGAGCAGAAACAAAGCTGCCTGTGGAACATAAGTACTCTCCAACATATCCTGTGCTTATTTAAAAATTTGTAGTGCTAGAATTCAGAGAAAAAAGAAAGCAAATCTTAAAATACAAACTATTTGAACTGGTTTATTCTTGTATGAATCAATCATTTAAGTTCCACTTCTATAAACAGGCACTAGGCCTTTCAATACCATGAATGTTACAGCATACAATAAAAGTAGCTTATTTACTATCAAATACAGATGATAACTCTGTCACTAATAATTTCATGAAGAAGAATTAAGACGTTTCAACAAAACTTCCTCGTACTCCTTCTGCGTCAGAAGTCCTTGAGTTATACTCTTGCTTTCTTCGAATTTGGGTAGAACCACTGCGATGTATCCCTCAGTTGATGGCTAAAAAGCAATGCTGAAGTTAGCAGTGAAATAAAAGTTGCAAAATGCAAAGCAAGAAAGTGTCTTACCTTTTCTTGCAGAATAGTGGGATTGCTAAGAATGTTTTCATTCACTTCTATCAGTCGTCCTCGTATACAACTACAAAAAAGAGTTTACATTCAGTAGAAGCGCAAGGTAGGTCAAAGTAAGAAGAGAAAGAGAAAAACTTTACCTATAAATGGTGTATTCCTCGCCATCTGTTGAAGATATCCTGCACAGAGGGGCAAGTTCTGTTAAAAATTGAGCTCCCTGTATTTGAAAATGAAACAAACACAAATATACTTCTAATTACATGGGTCTTATTAAAGGATTACCAGCAGCCACAGAAGTTTGTAAGCTGCTCAGAACAAAGCAAGGCAGCGTGATAGTTAACAAGTCATTGCAAGTTACACTGCTGTGCTTCCTTGTAGAAGGGAAGACACAACATAGTTATGTACACAAATTAAAGAGAAGCTTAAGATCTTACAAATTAAGTCATAATTAAATTTCTTGTGGATTAAAATCAGGGAAGAGAGGAGAAAAACACCACCATTAATTTCAGTATAACCAGGTTAAGCTACACATATTTGAAAGCCTACCATGAAACACTGAACTAGCCCATCTGCTCTCTAGGTCTGTTTGAGAAAAACAGTAGTCTCCAAATCCTCAGCATTTTGGTGGCAAACAAATTTAATCTTCTCAGTGATGTTTAAGTGTCCTCGTATACGATGAAAAAAAATGATTAGCACATCTGTTAGCCTTGGTTTCAGCCCCACTGGAAGCTACCTGTGCTGTAGGAGTGCTGTAGGGCCCTGGTTGGAGCAGTTAAGCAAGCACCTCTGGAAAAAGTCTAAATTCTTTAACCATGGAGGAGCTGTTTTAGAACAGAATGCAAAGGTAGCTTGGCAAGTTTCTAGCCTAGACAGGACAGAAATTTTCACAGTGTGAGAGATTAAAAGGAAAACTAACCAAACCAAAAAGCCATACCCTTTTTGACTTCCCAGAGACTTTATTCTGGAGTCTGCTACAGTTGGCACTGATTTGGTAATTAATGCTTTTAATTGTTTTTCCACTTTGAAGAAGAGGATGGGCTTCTGCCAAGGTGATGACACAGATTCTGCAAAAGGAAATGTAATTATTATGCTGTAGTTGTTGGAAGCCATGCTCTAAGCAAGCTCCACACGGTTCTCTGCCTCTACTGGTGGGATTTGAAATGATACTGCTTCATCTGGGCTCCTACTCCAAACTCCTAGCCAGACTTTAAGTATTGTGAAGGCTGTTATCTGCCTTCACCCCTTATAGCACAATATTCTTCCCTTTACAGTTTAGCAGGAAAGTTAAGCTGATAGCTCAGCCTACTGCAGTGCAAGCCACAGGACAGGCACCTACCAGGCTCAGGGTGGAAGCAAGGACAGACAGGTCAGGGGGACAGCATGAGGATCATGTAGGGTAACTTAGAACACAGTTTATCTGAGCTAATAAAGGAGAACAAAGGATAACTTTTGGCTGTAGACCGGAGACAAATTTTAATTCCCCCCTTACAAAAATGTCATATACAGGATCAAATCAGACTCACTCTCTTCAGGGCATCTTCGACATCTACTGTACCAAACCAAACGAAAGTTGCATTCTGACCTAACACAACCCCCACAGAAGGTGCTTTATTCCACGATACCAGACTTGATCATCAAAAGCTGTACACTTCTTTGTTAAACAGAACCACAGCTTTTTATTTAAAACAGCTAAAGCTGTTCTATCCTGTGTTATCCCACACAGGAGCATACTTGATTCACTTGTCTGCTGATGGCTGAAGTAGATAGTCACTGAAGATGATCAAGTGAAGCACAGTATGCTTTTGTCAGAAAATGTAACCCAAGGCAATGTTTCCTCAGAACAGCTAAAGACTGTTAGTGGTGAATAGTTACAGCAGATGTATCCTTTGGCGAGCTGAGCTTTAGTTAACCTGCTGCTTGCGTTTTATCTTTTTCTAAAGCAGGGTCGTTTCTTGTCATGAAACTGGAGGTGTTGAAACAAGCCCAGCTGTAAAGACTCAGTCCACCTTCATACCTGGGCTAGAACCTTGCTGAATGCAGAAACCTGAAGAGCTCAGAACTTGCCAGTAAAAGAACAGAGGTGAAGCTATTCTGTTTAAGAAGAGTTTAAAACCTAGAGCAAGGAGCAGAATTAACAGAACGCTAACTGTAGAGAAAACCACAGCACAGAACCAGGTCTTTCCCTGTGGATGCTGCATCCATCTCCTTGCACTCCTCTTTGCAAGTTCTTGCTGCGCAGCTTCCCCACAAGAGGGAGCTGGGTCCTGACGAATCCTTCCCGCATGCCCAGCAGCTCAAAGGGACCAGAACAACTACCTCTTCCTGACCCTAGCCTCCTTCCCAGGTTAAGATGACAAAACACCTATTTGAGCTGTCACCTATTAGAGCCGAGACCTGGCAAAACAAAAAAATCAACAGAGAATTTTACACTGCTTAGAAAGACCAGACTGAGCCACAGCTCCACATGTAATAATGGTGAAATACTTCATAGAGCATTTGGCTAAGCTGTTGTAGAAGCTAAGGGCCTTGATATTTCAGAATTCAAATTGGCAAAATAATCTTTACAGACATTTGAACAAATGTTTATATTTTTATTTCCCCCATATCAACAGGATTTAAACTGTTGTTTATATTGGACAACTGAGACATATTGAGTACATAGTGCAAATGTGAGGGTGTCCTTTCTTGCTGCTGTCAGGCCTGTTATTCCCAGGTTGGGTTTCTGTTCCCAAAGAACAAGAAAGCAAGCTGCATAAAGCAGCCACAGAGAAGCCCCAGCTCTGAAGGCCACAGCAAATGGTAGTTCTGCCCTGTGCCAAGAACACCCCAATTCTCCAAATTCTTCAACAGGAGCAAGAAATCCTCTGGGAATGACTGACACCTCCTCATTGTCCCTCAACACATGAGCAATGGCACTGACAGTTTTTGCACAGACAGTAGTTAAGTTCTGTCCTTCCCTTAGGGACTCAACACCCGAGAAACACGGTGCCACCACCCACCCTGCACTGATGACAGGCTTCAGCAGCAGCAGGGCAGGAGCTGGGGAAGGGCAGGTACGTTGTTAGAGCCTACACCAGGTACAGAGTTGATATACTCCAAATGACTGGATATCCAGCTACATCGGAGTGGAAACTGATTGATGCTTTATTTCCTACCTTGCATTCACTGTCTGGGGCACACAAACGTGTAATTAAAAGCAATTAAGATGCATATAGAAAAAGCTGAACGTTCAAACGGAGGTAATTAGTTTCCTAGAAAGCAAGTTACACACACGACTTCTAAACGTTGTTACAGAGAAGCCCTTGAAAGGCTGCATGTCTGTGACTGAAGACGAAGCACCTCTCAGCAGGAGGGGGTGCAACACTACCAATACTGCCGGGGGCCTTTATAAACATCTGCTGAGCAACGTGGTGTGTGGGGAGACAGTTCAAGCTCCTCTGTTCTTATTGGAGCCGTAACTGAAAAGAGATACAGGAAGGCTAAGATCTGCCGCTCTCCCACCCTCCCCTCTTCCAGAAAAACCTAGGCACTCCCGTATTTCGCACCTGCCCCGCTCCTCCAGGCGTTCCGGCAGGAGCCATGCCCCTTGGTTTAACAACCCTGCGGCCAAAAAGCAGGAGCACCGGCTGCTCCCCACCTAGCGCCGAGAGGAGGAGCAGCGGGCGGGCAAGCTGGCGATGGCCCGGCCCCTCGGTACGCCGCCTGCACGGCCCGGAGCGGAAGAAAGCGGCGACTCATTCGCTACAGAAAGACGGAGGCTTCCGAAACGCCAGAACGCGGCGGCTCTGTGCCGGCCGCAGGCGCACACCCGTCCTGGGGAGCGGGCGGGGCGGCTGCCGAAGCACCCCAAGCCCCCAGGAGCGACACTCGCCTGTTGGAGTGCTGCAGCACGCAGAAGTCCTCGCACGGCCGCCCCTTCACGTCTGCAACAGGGCACAAACACCAGTCACCGCCCCGCTCCGGTCCAGTCCCTCCCGGCCGATCCCCAGCTCTGCCCGGCGGTACCTGGCTTGTACCAGCGCGTAAAGTACCGCTCCGCACCGCCCCGCGCCACCGCCATGGCGCCCGCCTAGCTTGCCCTCAGCCCGCCCCGCTGCGATGGCGGCGGTTCCGGCCCCGCCCAGGCCCCGGCACCCGTGTCCATGGAGGGAGCGCGGCGCTATGGCAGCGTTCTTCGCTGGGCAGCCCGGTTTACTGTGAGGAAGTAACAGCTTACATATTTATTCTGAGAAGGCAAGTGAGAGATGTAACCGGCCGTAAGGTGAAGAGCCTGGAGCACAAGTCTGATGAGGAACGGCTGAGAGAACAGGGCGTATTTGGTCTGTAGAAAAGGAGGATCAGGGGGCACCTTATTGCTCTTTACAACTATGTGAAAGGATGATGTAGTCTCTTTGCCCAAGTAACAACTGATAGGACAAGCTGTGCCAGAGGTTTAGACTGAATATTAGGAAAAAAAGCTTCACAGAAAGAGTGCTCAGGCAATGAAACAAGCTGACCAGGGACGGGGTAGAAGCAGCACCCCTGGAAGCGTTCAAAACTGTAGATGAGGGCCTCGATATAGTCCAGTGGTAGCTGAGGCAGTCCTGCACTCATAGTTGGACTTGATGACCTTAAAGGTCTTTCCCAACCTACCTGAGTCTATGGTCTTATGAACTAAACCAGCGAGGAAAACACTCCAAACCCAGCCTTTGGTTCAGTGATTTATTTTCTCTAGTACACAGCAATACAGTCATAACTACAGTGCACATATATGTACCAAAAAGGTATTTTAAATAAAAACATGTTTCATGAAAACATCATCTTGTTTCCTGTTTGTGGCAAACAATCACCCAGTTTATCCACAGGAAACTGTAATGTTTCTGGTCACTCAGTTCAGGCAGGAGGAGAGCCTCTGTGGATTCAGTGTTAAGCTTGACCGTATTTTATACAAGCAAAACTGAGCTGCATTCCCACAACAAAATCAGCATCACTCCCAGCACCTTGTCCACAAAGGGAAAGAAACCTCAACCCCACAGGTTGAGCCCAGGCAGGTGAGAACTTGGGCACCTCTGGTTTGGCTCTCACTGCACATAGTTAACTACAGACACAGTTTCTGTACAAGCACATACCAAAACCACTAGGAAAGCAGGTAAGAAAAAAAAACACACAAAAAAACACACAAACAACAAAAAACAAAACCCTAAACCAAAAAAAACCAAATTTTGATTCCAGCCCTATCTGCCTACTCTATTTCCCAACATCTAGCACAGGGATTAGATAAGGCAGCTGTAACAGCATATAAAATTAAGGTCTGTACCATTATTAACAGAGAGATACACAAAACAGAGACAGCGAGGCACATGACACACTGCTGCAGAAAAAGAGATGCATAAAAGTAAAGAGCTGCCTAGAGGCTTTGCCCCACCAGTTTGCCAAACCAGGAATATTTTCAATGACAAGTACATTGCAACAGATGCAGATTCTACTTTATAAGGCTGACAAAGGGAAAAAAAAAAAAAATCAAAACCAAACCACAAAACAACTAAACTTCTGTCATATCACTGGCACAAGCCTACAGGAGGTTTTAGTCTGGACAGCTGTCCATCCCAGAACTCTCTCCAAAGACTGAAGATCACTGATGTGCTTGTGTCCAGGCTATTGAGCTCTAAAGGCAATTTGTCATGTTGTTACATTAGCAATGTGTTTTGATATGCAGATATTTCAGTGTCAGCTGATTACATCAAAAGCTGGCCAGGAACCCAGTGAAACACTGACTGAAATTAGTAGATTTACCTCCATCATTTAATCATCTATCTTAAAATCTCTTGTGCAACCCTAGGTCACATGTCTTCTTGCTGTGTCATATCCAGCACACAAACAGAAGTCTGATGTACTAAGAAGTACTCATGACCAAGGAGACAGAGCATACCTGACATCTGAAAGAGCTGAAGGTGTGGGACAGAAGGCAAATGATCCATAGGTTAAAGCACTCTCAATTTATGGGGGTTTACCAGACCACTCGTAAACACAGTGCCCAAACCCTACAAAACCCATTAGGATGCAGTGAGGTTGCACCTCAGACACATCTCAGCAAAACAGAACTGTGACGAGAGGTTTGGGAAGAAAGAGGGGGAAAAGTCTCACCGATTATTTTTTTGCCCAGGAACATATCTTGCTCATGAGGAGCAGCACTGGAGAACAAACTGAGGCACATGAGCTCCAAGGGAGATCAGCACCATGACACCAGAAAGGCAAGACTCATTTAGACAGGTCAGGCACAAATCAGACCACTCCAAAGGGCAACACGTTCATCTGCAATGAAGAGACATCAGGAAGAGACCTCCAAGAAGAAAACCAGCCATATTTTAAGAGATCTGGAATGAGGTGGGACTGCCAGGATGCAAGATCAGTACAGAAAAACTAAGCAGTCAAGGTATGAAAAATTCCATTTTTGACATGCTTTGTGTATGTATGTGTGTCAGCATGGTGGTCACTGTAGCTGGTTTGAACTTACTTGTTTTCCTGAAGAAAACAGTGCTGTACATATCTGAAACAAAACAGCTTTTGGTAAGCCAAAGATTATGGTATTCAAGCACTAGAGGTAGGAAAGGAAAGATGAATATCAACAGGTATGTTTTAGACAGAGTTTAGCTGCAACAGTCAAGAAGTTAACATAGCAGAAGGGCATAAGTATCATAAGAATGTAGACTAAAAAAAAAAAATACAAGTTACTTTCTCTTCAGAGTTCAAACTAACAGTTTAAGAGCATAGAAGACAGAGAAGCAATGGGCAGATATATAGATCAATCTCCATTTTTATCATACTCACAGCTACTACTAATTTTCTTCAGAAACATTAGAATACTATTGCTATAAGAGTAAAAAGAGCACCAGATGGGTGATCAAGGAGATTCTGCAGAAACATAGCAAAGGTCTACTGTACCATGGCAATACTCTCTGCAAATGCAGAATTTATTCATTTTGCCATTGCCTTTTTAAGCCTTCTCCTTCCTTCACTTACTTTCAGGGTAATTAAAACATTAAGCTTGAACTACATACTTATGTATATGCTTACAATTAACATGCTGCTTCCCTATATATGCTCCCAAAGCAATTTTCTTATTTAGGATTTCTCAGCTTTAGTTGTTGCAAAGACCATAACTGTTTTTTGTAAGCACAGGTTTGTGTGCAATCACACTTAAATCATCAGCTCTCCTACTCTGCTCAAGCTACTTCCCAAAGTAAATCAATGCTTTAGTTAAGGAACCTGTTGTAGTAAATGACTGTCTCAGCCTGTAGCACTCCTCCCCTTGATATCAGACTTTAATATAACTTTGCCATTTCAGGCAGCATTAAGTGGGATACAGCACTACTTTAAGTCTCTTTGATGGAATTCACATATATTGGAGCCAGAGCTATGCTTTTATGGTCTAATAACTGATCAGAAGGGATGGAAAAAGTAAACACTTTGTTTGGAGTAGAAACCAGCTAGAATAAGACACAAAGATCCCACAAGCTACTGAGAGAAGAACCACCACAAAAAGGATGGAGTTGACTCATCTGCCACTCAGTGTAAACTAAGTGGATGCAGAAGAGATAAGTTTCTACCAATATAAACACACACTACACATTACATCTCGTTTTACACTGCTCACTGTGTTTTGTGTCCACTGATTTTGATTGTGCTAAAATAAAACCTGTCATTTTACTACTTTAAACCAACAAAACCCTGAAATAAAAAAATATAATTACATACAGTAAATAAATTTACTAAACACAACACAAACCTTAACCCTGCAGCCAATACTCCTTTAATAGCTTTGGCACCTTCAGCATGTTTTACCAAGTACAGCTTTCCACAGTACCATAATGCAATGCTAAATCCTAAATTAAAAAAATAATAAAAAATCCCAAACAAACAAAAAAATCAACCCTATGTTTCTATCAGGGGAGAAGGAATAACAGCACAACAATAAAAATATCTAGTCTATATCAACCGTACCTCTCCACTAGGGAATTTAATAGAAAAAAAGCCTACCACATATAATTTAACACCAAGCTCTCTTCCTGGCAAACAGGATTACAAGTTAATACTGAAAACAATCTTATGTTCAAATACAGAGATAAGCAGCATTATTCCAAAACCCAACAGAATCCCAGCATTCTGTAACAGGAAGTATCCCCAGCGGCTACATCCATGATCACTGGCATCATTGTGGAGCATTTCAGGTACCTAAACAAACAAGAAAGTGTTAAATGCTTTCAAAATAAAGTTACTTCAAACCCAGTTCCTCAGCCATGAGGCATGAGGTAGCAGAGCCTCACTCCTCTGGTCTTTCCTGTTGACTACATTACTATTACTCCTTGAATTAAGTGTCACTCAACATGACTAGTATTATCAGAGGCTACTTTCATATTTAGACACAGAGAATCTGTAATGTTCCAATTACTGTTTTCATGGTAATTATGCTGATGTCCTAAGCCAGCCATTTACTCAGGATATGACTATTTACCAACTGATGTAATCAAGCCACACAAAGAATTCTGTTCTTAAGACAAAAGCTAAGATATGCTAACTATCCACCAAGTACTTTGTACTTCTGTACAAACATACTTCTGAGGTATAGTTTAATATAATTGTCTTTATGCCAATAAACAGTAATAATTTAATGCAGAAGTTGAAGCATATTTAGTGGTGCAGATAGTGTGCCACTTGCTTACTGACTACCTGCTAACTAGCCACTGTCTGAAGCATTTTTTTTACTCCTGCTGTTAACTGCTTTTATTTAACAACTGAGGGAGAAAATCTTTGTACCTACAGTAAACTAAACAAAAGCCATCTTCCACCTGAACATGTAACTGAACACTTATGCTGCATACTAATCAGCATCCTCAAGTGCCTAAAAAGTTAATCGAGGGGAAAAGAGATGGAAGAATCTGAGCTCAAAATTTAATTAGCATTAATTCTTGAACTGTGTTATATACAATTCAAGTAGGTCTAGACACTTACCATATCCACAAGAGCCACATACATGAACAAACCAGCTGTAAGTGCAAATATCCACATGGAAACATTGTCTGCATAATGACCGATGAGGATCCCAGTCGCCATCCCAAGGTAGGCCAGCATAGCTGACAGAGCATTATAAA